ACAGATAACTCCAAGGTTTCTGGGTGGGACAGATGTAACGAAGGAGCTCTGTTAACTGCTGTGATCTGAGATGGACAGATGGAAGGAGGTGGCCGGGCACACACTGCTGGGATGTGTGTGAGACGCCACACAGACGCAGCAGTGCCCAGTGTGGGGAACCACAGTGCACAACGCCTTGTGACCGGATGAGCTCACCGTGTGGACAGAGACAAGAAGAGGACTAAGGACCGTGGATAAAACGCAGAGGAAAGGGGTAACCATGAGATGAAAACAAAGCAGAGACACACAACTAAGAGTGGCCTCTAAGAATCAAGAAAGGGCAGGGTTTTAAATATCCAGAAAATGGAAGGAAAACTCTTCAGGCTATACCCTCAAACAAAATTACCTCCCAAATGCTGAAATCCTTAGCCACAGTCTACCTGAAAACGCCCACACAACAGAACACAAATAGGGTCACACTGGAGTTCACTACTGGAAATGCAAGGAAGTCCACTGAGCGGCTCTCCAGTTCATCCTCGGGGGACAAGGGGAATGAACGAGGTTGCTGGCCTCGCACCCCGAGTTCAGATAAGCTGCTCCAGGGGCTGTGGGTGGGTGTGTGAGGGGAGGGGGGGAGGGGCTGTAGTTTGGGAGCATGAAATATCAATGTTAGAAGCTAACCTTTATTAAGCACTTATGTGCTGGTGTTCTACATCCATGGCTCTCATTTATCCTCAGAACAGCCTGTGGATATATGAAGGGAGGCTTCTCTCTCGTCCTCATCACACAGCGCTGGATGGTAGGACAGGCCGGGAGGCAGGTGCCAAAGGAGAGTCTGAAGCCATGGGAGGGAGGCCTGTGGATGATGTCTCTGACGGCAGGTATCAGCTAAGAACTTCCCCACTCTCTCCAGAATTGTTTCTCTGGGGAAAAGTGATAAATGAACCCCTAGAACTCAATGTGTTCATACCCCCAAGAGGAAGGGGCCGCCTACATAAATGCAACAGGTTCCCAAAGAAGTGGAGAAAGTCCAATACAAGCCACGGGATGGCCGACCAGGGAAATGAATTCATGTGAGCAGCGTTGGAACTGATTATAATCTCTAAACTAATAGAGCCACTTTTATTAAAGATTTCCACATGTGACAATAACAGTACATTTCACTTGACTTCTGGCTTTCAGAGAACAAAAATGTGCAAATACATAATAGGAAAGCAATAGTTTGTCTTCACTAAAGTTACCATGTTCTTATCTTAAAAAGATACAAAAATAGCCCTATCCGGGTGGCTCAGTGGTTGAGTGTCGACCTATGAACCAGGAGGTCATGGTTTGATTCCAGGTCAGGGCACATGCCCGGCTTGCGGGCTCGATCCCCAGTGTGGGGCGTGCAGGAGGCAGCCAATCAATGGTTCTCTCTCATCATTGGTGTTTTTTTTTTCTCTCTCTCTCTCCCTTCCTCTCTGAAATCAATAAAAAAAAATTTAAAAAGATACAAAATATTCTTTAAAAGTTGTGTGTTATGTAGTATTATCTTAGACCATTCTTAAAAATGTTACTCTTGTAAGTAGACTGATTTTTGACCTGTTTAAAGAGAAACTCTCTTGATACTGCCCCCCCCCGCCCCCCCCC